TGGATTGTATGTTCAGGCGTTAAACGGCAGACGCATCGGGTCCTGCGGCTTTCTTGCCTCTTGCTGTCAGCGACGCATGGCATGGTGCGCTTGCCACAGTCGACATCACTCCGCAGTTTTTGAGAAGGCTAAGCTCAGGTAGCAAGCGTGCGCAGCCATGTCCACTGCGTTCAGGCTGATACTCAGCAAGTGGTTGGTTTCCTGCGTGACCTTAGCCAGGGTGACCACTGCCTGGAGCGTAGCTTTCATTACGAAGCACGGCTTGCAGTCTCTTGAAGATGTTGTGTACGTCGTGGAGCATGGCCGCTGGGTGGTTTCTTTACGTGAATTAGATAATTAGATGCTGATTGGCTTGAACTCAAGGACAATCGGCTGGTCTTGCCACCCTAAAGGCGGTTTGCCAAAGCGGCCGTGAGGCCATAAGCAACTCTCTAGCAGTCGACAAAGCTGAAGCCAGTGCTTTCGACCAACTTATTTTTGAGAATCACTTTCAGAAGCGAGCTAGCTACGGGTTAGGCTCACCTGGATCCATGCGACAGCCTCTGAAGCCGCATCTGGCGAGAACTTCGGAGGCGCCAATTGATCCGGTGGTTCCACGCCGGTGGATGAAGAGCGTGTAAACCTTGACTGAGGAGTAATCCCTCAGTTCGCCAGGGAATCTTCTTCACCGCCCAAAACGACCATTGAATATTACCTACGCTTGCGCACTTCGGCCTATGTCTGGTCCTGGTTTGGACACCTCCACCGGCGTTTCCTGCGGCCCGCAGGCAACACACGGTCTCAATGATTTGTGAAGTCTGAAAGATATGCAAAGAATGGGACGACGCGTGGGGATGCAACAACAAGTCTTGTGATTTTGTTCATGGGTGTGATGTTCGCTTGCCTGACGGCAGTACTTGCCCCAGTACAAACCACAGCCGCCTCTCATACCCCTCTGCCTGAGGGCGGGGGCCCTCTCCTGAGGCCCCTGGAGGGGGCCCCGAGTCACATGATCAGGCCAGCGTTTCAGCGGCTAGCTCGGTCTTTTGCTCCCTGCCCGCCGGTGATGATGACGTGAGAAGCTCTCTCCAAACACCTCATCACGTCAAACTGGTCAGAAGCCTCATGCGTATGGTTGCTTCAGTGCGCCTTCGAGATTTTGTTCGGCTTGAAGTTCATGTTCTGCGGTCAGCGTCGCTTAGTCGAAGGAAGACGATCTCCACGAAGTGGCCCCCGCGGCTGAATGCCTCCGTACCGCTCTCGCGTGTCGAGCCTGGCATGAATGGATAGCCTCTGAATCCAACCCTTCGGACGGCTTATATAAGCAGACTTGGAGTCTCTAGCCCCTGGACCTTGGCCCAGGGCTGGGAGCTAAAGGAGCACGAGCCGCAAGGTGCACATGGACACCGGATCTTCGAAGACCTGTTGTCTTGAAGAAACAGTGGGTGCATCTGCCGGCTTTGTGCCTTTGAGCTCTTGAAACTCTGGGTGCATGTGGCTCCGTCCATCACTTTTTGACATGATACTATGTGCTACTCACTTGGCACATGTCCGCTTGGTGTCATACCTTCCTTGACGCACCAGTTGCATTCAGTGATGACACAACTTTTCCATGATTTTTGCGACATACATACAGCCATGCTCAATGCTCATGACGAATGCTCTTGCCAGCTTACCGCCGGTATCACGAAAGCTAGCCTCCATGTCTAGCTTGAGTTGCTTATCAAACGTTAGCTTGCAACAAGTGCTGTGGGGGGGAGAAGACCGTATCCGACTGGCAAAAAACATTTGACTTTTTGCTCAAAAGAGCGGTTAAAAGGTGTCAAAGAAAGAAGACGTTGCAAATGCCTCACAGGTAAACGAGTACATGGTCGACCCATCGCATAAAGCTTGGACAAGGTTCGTTCACGCTTCCGGGCCTTTGCCCCAGCCCCCTTATGTTTGAGCACAAGTACATACTGTATCTACTAGACTTTTTGAGAGCACCAGATCAAATAGTGTAGGTAAAACCAAGTTCGTGTCCTGTAGCCTTTTCCTTCCTTGGAGTAAAACGGAGGCAGTGCACATCCGCATTCTGCCGGTCAACCTTACTGGTATGTATTCTCGCGTTTTTGCCATCCAAATCTTCTGTTACATGCATGCATCTCACTTGCCATTCACAATCAGTGATTTGTGCGAGATTGAAACTTGAAAGCCACAGTGCCGGCATCACCTCGTACTCCTGCTGGCTTTCGTGGACCATGGCCGTGGCTTATAGCATGGTATGATGACGAGAACAGCTCATTTCAGTAACTTTGATGGAAGCTTCCCAGTAGTGTGAGGTTACGTCCGGAAGCTGCCCTTGCGTGAGGATCTTACACAATCCCTTTCGGGGAACGAGTGGGGCGTGAGGGCAAGGTCTTAGCTTTCGAGCCATTTCGCGCCTGGGTTGCAAGGTGAAAATGGATGATGCATTGCAAAGCATTCTTGCTAGATCTTTCTGGGTCCCTGCAAGGTTGGCTCTATCAGCTAGTGACGGCGAACGTTGCGTTGTGCCTGGCCAGCAGCTCTGTGGTTCTTGCTTGTTTATTTATTGCGCTGCTGGCAAGTCTCTTGCTACCAAGACCGTGTTTTGCTCAGGAACGGGCTGTCCAACGTTCCGACCTCAGCATCAGAAGCACGCGAAGAAGCACCTCTAGCGGACTGAGATGGTGGCAGACCTCACGTCAGGTGTGGACCTTCAACGTGGCTCTGGGAGAGCGCAAGCAGAGGTTTTTCGGTCGCCCGCCGCAGCTTCGATTCTTCAGCAGCCCTGGCGGCGTCAAGGCAGGACAGAACTTTGTTGCGAGAATGCAGTATCGTTGGAACCGGGGCATCGCACGTGTGCAACCTTCTAATCTAGTGAAGACTCCAACGTAGCTTTCAGGGGACTCGGGGGAATTGCTGCAGTGTTTGTTGACAACGCTGGCTTGCAACATTGGCTTGCGCGCGCTGATTTCATCTTTCGCAGTTCCGAGCTGCACCAAGGTGAACTATGCTGAACAGGATGGAGCACCGGGCGCGCAAGAAAGCATCTGAGCTGCACGTGCCTGTGGTATTCCCAGGCCACTTGAACGTGTGGCGAGAATTGATGGATGTTATAAGTTCTTGGAGCAGCAGTGTACTGGCCAAGATGATCGACAACTGAGGCATGCACATCAACCAAGCTGTACAGATGCGGCTCGTTGGCGGTCATTCTTCTTGCAAGGGGTTGAGCTCCCCGAGTGTTTCGTCGCAACCAGGTACGACTTCGAAACTGATCCGGAAGAGATGCTTGCCAGCACATTCGACCACTGGTACATGCGACGTGGCTCTGTAAGCTTCGTGAAGCTACGCGCGCTGCTTTCACCTGGACACTTCCTGCAGCGCAGTTTCATTCATGGTAGGCCGTAGGGTGGTAAAGCTGCTACCAGGCGGCCCACGGTGGCCCAAGTGTTCATGAGAGTTCCTTTGTCAAGTTTTCCTGCGTTCAGGACATTGATGATTTCGCTGGATGACTTGCTTTCTGGTCAAACAGACCTCAAGCCACCGTTTGTGAACAGCATCAGGCTTCAATCGCTCGCATCGCTGTTCTTGAGTTTACCAAGATTTCCAATGCATTCCTTGTTTTGTCCGAAACCTTATGACGTAGCCGTACTGCCCCAGGCAAAAGCGCTCACCGTGCAGGGGTGCCGAGTTTTTCTTGCAAGCCCAGCACGCAGGCTCATCAAGATTGATGTCGAGGGGATGGAGACCAACGTTGTACTGGGTGCCATGAGGGCCATCTACCAGCTACTTGGCACAGGACTGCAAAGCTTCTGAGTCGTATGCTCGGTAGTTGAGTTGACCAGCCAACGAGGTTCAAGCCCATCATTTGGAGCGAGAATGACGACTACTTTGACAGGTCAGCTAGCTGCAGTGATGCTGGAGAGTCGATTCATCCTTTCAATCTACACCTAAGAAGATCAGAAATCGTCACGTTTATCTTCTTGACCTTATCAATGTCTTGTTGCACCTTCATGCTCTTAGCTCCAAGCACGCTCCTTCTGAGTGTGTCACCAAAGCACACCGTGAGCACCTTTAATGCAGTGCATACCGGAACAGTTGACGAACGCTTGGGGGGGAGGAAATGATAAGTCCATCAAGCCAATCCCCGTTTGGAAAGCCGTTTGGCCACTGAATTTCTGAAGGCAAGATGAACAACAGAAAAGCCTCCGCATGCATGACGCTTGCTTCCTGACTTGTGCGGAGATTAAAACAAGGAGTAAACTTGAATAGCTGCAGGGAAGGTGCCTTGCATAGGCATCGTTTGGGATGGTATGGACTTGACTCATCTACGGGACGTCATACGAGTAAAAGAGCTGAGGCACCAAGTGAAAAGTCAGATAGATGTCCAGTATCAGACAAGAGACCAAGCAGACCAGGAATTCACGTCTCAAAGCACACGGGCAGGAGCGACACCAAGTTCCTGGCAATCATGGAGCAGTTGGAGTACCAGTGTGCCAAGGCACGCTAACGCACGCATTGAGTCTGGCCTGCTTTGATGCACATGCCCTAAGCTAGGAGATGTAGTGGGGCTTTTCCGATCTGGCCCAGGGTGAGCAGCATGAGGCCACATGTTCAAACATCGATAGCTACAGTGGCTCGCTGCTCGCAATTGAACTTGAAAATGAACCCTTGTTTCTGCAGTGCCTGCCAACTTGCCAGGTGGAGACTGCTCCCAAAGATCTGATGTGCACTGATAAGTATGGACGTGGTCACCAGTTTCAGTGACGTTGTTTAAATCAGGTCCTTGAAGTGATGTGACATTGATGCTGGTGATTGAACTGTTTCAGCAGTATGTCCACAACTGAGTTGGGGATGTGAGCAGCGAGAAATTGCTGCTGCCGCCAGCAAGGGGATCCAAAAAGGATTAGCAGATATGGAACTCTGCCAGTTCTGCTAAGCAGCAGTAGATAGGTGCCACAGACTGGCTTGCGGCCTCTTTGGGTGAATCTTTGGAATCCATGACTGCCCTGTGACAGTGAGCGGCTCCCCGACTCCGCAAAGTGGTCCGTGTCCTACGTGGAGGCCTCCAAGTGCGGGCCATACTGTACTTCCAGCACTGGGTAGGACATTTGCGGGTGTCTGATGAACGGGCTTTGGCATTTTCGCATTGCCGAGGGCCCAAGTGAGGCGGCGGCAAGATGAGGAGAAGACTGCTCGGTGCCTCATCTTAAAAACAGCGATAAAGCTTGCAGGGTATTTGCAGATTGTGCTTTCCTCCTTTGGCTACACATGTAGCCGCTGGCTTATAATCTGTGGTCCGGGAGGTGGAATGCTGGCAACCATGACAGCACGGAGTTCTTCAGGACAAGCGCTTGCTAGAAATGCGCGACGAATTGAATAACTTTGGGCTTGTAGGAAGATGGGCCAGACCATGGCAGATACGGAGAGGTACAAGGCAGCATGTGTGGCCCTTGGGACCAATATTCACGCGACATCTTTTTTTCTGCTCCTTCTTTTCAGGTCGCAGTGCTACCCTTGCTTCGCCGTCGCGTCAAAACGAGGAGAAGGTGAGCCTGGAGTTTGCGGGCAGGCCACCGCGGCATGATGCAGCATGGTTCTTTGCTGCACGAGATTGCCAGATGAGTGGTCTTGAAGGATGCGTTGACGTTGCAGCCCATTGGTTCCGAGCCCTCCAGTAGTCCCTCGTGCTCCGAGTCTGAGCTAAGGAGGCCCATATCCCACCATGCAGGTAGCGCCCGAAAAAGACTCCAGCAGTGACGAGGGCGGTGGTGGTGTGGTCAGCAGTTTGAAGTCCACAGCGAGGACATGTTGCTTCTGGTTTCGCCTGATCCCACCAATTAAATGGATGCTCAACTTCTTCAAATGGCTTTTCCTGTCCCGGCAAGAATATGCTGTCCTCAAGAAGGCAAAAGAACTCTTCAAGACGGTCAATGTTGAAACAGGCTGCTGCGCTGACTGCCCGTACAAGCAGTTGACCAAGATGGAGAGAATGTACCTTCATCGCATACTCAAAGACACCTCACGTTGGGGGAGTGAGAGAAAGTTCATCCAGACGTTCCAGGCTCAGATTATTGCGATGCAGAAGGACGACAGTGACGGAGGGGAAGCTGTGACCGAAGGAGAATTCTGTAATGCTGTACTTTACGCCGTGCAGGAGTACATGGAGAAGATTGTCAACAAAATGCACAGCGAGATCAAGAAAGAGTATAAAAAAGACGAAAAGCTGGCAGAGGCCCCTTGATGAGAAGAAGTCCAGACTCCTTGAGAAATTGGAGATAGAGGAGAATTGAATCAGCAAAAAATCTACTTTACAGTCCAGGTCTCAGACCAGCCAAGTTGGCCTGTTTCTTTTCTGGGCCTGGGCCAACGCTGCCTTTGGTCCTCAAGGACTGCCATGTGTATCACCTAACGCGAGCTTCGAAAGCTGAGCTCGGAAAACGGGCAATTCTGCTGGCAGTTGCCGCCTCCCTTGTTGTCTTCAGAGAGGCCCCCAAGATTTTACGTTAACTTTGCAGCTTAACAGGTATGTGGACATTGCGAAGGTTGGAGCCCCAAACGAATCAAGAGACCTGGGGACTGATGTGTGGGCTGGGTGTCGGCTCCAGGCCCTTGCTGATTTCAGCAATGTCTGCATCAATGACGACGAACAGAAGGGCTTCAAGACCATGAACGCAGATGGTCGGAACCCTAAAACATGTCTTGGCTAGGCTCATTTGGGCTTGACTGCACGGGTTTCCAAAGGCACCGTGGATGCTCCTCCGGGTGTGATGCATCTCAAGGCCGGCCATGACAATCGCGCGCATTACCCTGTGAATATTTTGGTGCTAGGACCCGGCGGCAGAAGAAAAACGGCGCCAGGCCGAGGAAGCCATTTGCCCAAGCTTCTCTTGTGCCAAGTGGCCAAGTGCTTGCTTCCCAGACGTACGTAAGTTGGAGTCCTTTATGGTTCGAATGTCGACCGAGGAGGCGGCGACTAAAGTCCAGGCCATGGAGAGAGGGCGCAAAGCGCGGAAACAGGCCGCTGAAATTGCGTGGCAAGTGGGCCAAACTAGAGAAAGATGCGAAAGCTCAGTGTCCTTCCATGTTTTTCCAGAACGTTTCCCGTACCAGAAGGTGATGCTCATCATTTCACGTTGTTGCTTGTCATGCTTTTGGAGGTCAAGGAGGTGCAAGAAGTTGAGGAGGCCAGCTCGCACTTCATAGTCCTTGGCTGTTCTTCGCATTTACCTGGGGCCATGTTCAGGAGGAACCCAGCCAAGAGCTTGGGCAAGGTTCATCATCGTCCCTGCCGAAGGAGGCGCTGGATTTTTTTGCCGAGACCTCATGAAATTGGAGCTTTGTCTGCCGCTGACAGCCTAAAAGTATCATGCAGAGTCACAGAGACTCCAAACATGGCCGACTTGTTGATGCTTAGTTGTGGGCAGGGCTCGGAGGAGGTTGCACCCCCCGCCCCACGTCCGCCGGATTCCGTGGACGAGGCAGTCAGAGTGATCAGACATTCCGCCAGTTTGCACGCATCAACTTATATCAGCATGCCTTGCATCGCATGTCACAGAGGTCACACGCACCTTTGTCACATTGCTGCCTTGTTGTGCAGGAAGGGGTGGAGAGGAAATCCTCCGCATCGGACAATGACAATGATGATGCATTTGGAGAAATAGAGGCCTCGGCAGTCTCCTTTAAATATTTGCTGGCTGAGAGTTTGGCTTTCTGGAGGGCAGTCCAGTCGGGCCTTGGAGCAAGAGCCACTTCGCCTTCGTATGAGCCTTGTTGCAGGAAGAGTTTTCTCCAAAGACCGATGTAGTCGGCCCTGTCATCTCCATAGTCGGCGCCGGCGCTGTTGCTCCTGCAAACACCAGCAACCCGTAGCTTGGCAGCTGGCAGAATTTTTGGGGGTAAAGCAACAACGAGCACGTCCCTGGCTTGTCGCATCTGAGGGGCTCTCGCAGAAACTCCAGGCGATCGTCTGAGGCGCAAGAAGAGTGGCCCGCTATGCCTCCTCCTTGGAGCATTGCAAGCCGTCTGTTCCGTTTCTGTTTTGCGCAGGAGAGTGAAAGCGGTGGGGAGTCCGAGGGGTCGGACCAGAACGACGAGTGAGCCCCCTCTTGCCGCTCTGTCGTGGTCTTACTGCAAAGGTGGAGAGTTCATCATGCTTCCGAAGGTCTGTCTCGGCGTTGTCCTTTTCTGACTCATCAGGCAGTATAGCCTTACAGCACATGGCCAAGGGTCGATGTGTAAGAGTTCTGCTGCGGCGTCAGACTAAACTCGTCACGATACAGTTCAGCTTCCCAACGCAAAGATAGCATCTGGCAATTTCTGGGACGAAGTCCTGCTCATCAGCAGAAGACAGCTTTTCAAAAAAGCCATGGCCACAACCGCAGTGCCAATCAGTGATCAAAAGCTCCAGCGCGGAGCTGAGTGCCGGAAGAGTCCTCACAGGTTTGGCTAGGTTGCGCACTGTAGGGCCACATTGCTGGTTAACGCTGGTTAACGTGTAAAGCGAACGGTTGCTCAGGAAGCTCATCTCGGGAGCCCGAAATCCTTACAAGGAGCAGGCAGAGCTGATCGTTACCTTGCTCGAGACCGTTTGGTGGGTGCGAGGCTCTGCGCGGAACCCGCCGCATCTTCTGCAGATGTGCTGTATGACAGAGTATGTGCACCTTCAGTAATTTCTGTTCCCAACCACAGGTCAAGGAGGAGATGGTGCGGCAAGCAGAGCGAATGGCGCAAATGGAGGAGTGCTGCTCATGCTCAGATTGCTGTTCGACCTGGCAAACGGAAATCTGATCGCTGACACAGCGGATGCAATAGCAAACGACTGTCAGCACTCAGATCTCAACAGCTCTGCAAGAATTTCAGGAGTCCCTCGAAAGACAGGCCAGCGGAGTTGATAGTCGCAGTCGAGGTTGGTAGGTTGCTGTGATGCTGCGACCTGTGAAGCCCGGAGTCAGTCAGCGAAGAATCATGCAGAAAATGAGTATACAAGTTGCTTATACTTATGCTTATGCTTATGCTTATGCTTATGCTTATGCGCAAGCACACTTTTGAAGGCCTCACTCAGCCACAGGATGACGGCAAACCGACTGCACGGGTGAAGCCATGTTGAGTTGGCAAGAACTGCAAAACCGCATGAGGGCACACAAGTGTGTGGGCTGGGCAGTCTAGAGGCCAAGCGCAAAATGATGAAGCCTAGACTTCAAGAACGGCACGCCAGCGAGACGTGCAGATGCTTAAAATGTTTGGTGAGAGGCCGCTCGCATCGCAACTTTGGAATCTGGCGAGCCTGCGCCTGCTGTGGCTTTGCTGCAGATGCCCAGCATCGGCAAACTCTTCCAGCACGTAGTATAGGCTACAGGAAGTGATGCTTCTACACTCACCGAGGCCCCAACCAAGCCTTTGCCGACCTCGAGTACAAGCAAGGCCTGCTTCCAGGAGGTTCTTACTCTCTTCCATTGCCGCTCTGGGCCTCATCAAGCCAAAATGCAGGCGGTGGATCTTCTGGACCTGGATTTGAAGGACCGCCGGCCATGACACACCAACAAGGCACTTGGCCTGCATCCTCGCTTGATGAGGCATCTTCAGATCCCGAATATGATGAGGATGAGGCGGCCTGCCGTGCTGTAGAGCCTTACATGGTTCACAGTTCCTAGTCCTGTGTCATGCCTCATGGAGCTGTGTCCAGGAGATCAGCATGAAGGATGATGATGAGGAGGACGTGAAGGCTATTAGCTAACTGGTGTGCATGGAGGATAACTTTTCCATTCTTTTTCAATCTCAACCGAGTCTGAATCGCTCAGAGAGGCTCCTCCAGAAGCGACGGGCACTTAAGCTTCTTGCTGTTGACATGTCATCTATTCCATTCCAGATGTACTGTCCTTACCGTACTCATGGCTCAGGGAAGTAGACCCTTGGCTAGAGGCCGCAGAGAAGTTGGAAACTCAGAACATCCGTGAACAAATTGAGCTAGCGGCATATAGTATAGAATGCATTCTCTGCAAATGCCTCAGAGCTCAGGCGTGGTTCCAGCTTTCTGGACGCCTTACCCTCACGTTCTGCACCTTTCCTTTCCCAAGTCCAATGCATTTCTGCCCAGAAGCCGGCTGTGGCGACGCGGCCTGCGCCAGTTCCAGCCAAGAAGGTGCGCTCGTGTTTTTGGGCACTGCCAAGCAAAGCTCTGGTTTCTTTTTGTTTCTGGAAGGCGGCGGCCCCGCAAATCCGCCTTGCTTACTCAGATGGTCGAGGGACGGTGTGCCGGTGTGCCCCCCTGTGAGAGCATTGCCAGGAGTCCCATCAGACCTGGCTTGGTGGAGAACTCGACACGTTTAGAATCCCCTGTTGGAGCTGCGAGGCGCCCTTGGGCCGATCATCCAGCCTCCACTTCAATGGTGCAAATCGTTTGATAACATCAGACGAGCACTCCACATTGAATGTTGCCCGCTCTGAAGCTGATATTTGTATTACACTGTACCGAGAAATGCAGCAGCACGAAACCAAAGACTACCTTCGACCATCCTGGAAAGGCCGGCACCGACATCGAGGTGGGCCTTTGGGAGAAGTCTCCCTTGCTAGATGGCTGCCCGTGCTGCCTCTGTATCGTCTCATGCCAAATTGACTAGCCCTTATTGAAGAATAGGATTTCCTTGGAAATTCGTGAGTACGTCAACCGATGCTTTCCACTGTGGACCCGTGCGCCCGCGAGCCCATGAACCTGTGGGGGTGCGGACGTGAGCCGTGGCGGGCATGCCTGTAAGCTTGTGGCCCGCCCGTGGGCCCGTGCACTGTATGCGAGACCGTTCTCAGAGCCCACACGCCTCCATAGCAACGCCTGCCCCAGCTTGCAATGCTTTAAGGGCTTATCCTGGGAGTTTTCAGGCCTACGCGTAATCAGAACTGGACAGAAACTCCTGGCTCGCAGAGAGATTCTCTGCAAGCAACAGACATCGTACTTGTTCCAAACACCGCGAGGCCCAAAGCGCGGTCCAAGCCTGAACCAAGCCAAGAGTTGGTGGCCAAGCTCATGCAGGACTGTTTTTGCTGAGGGGCGTCTTTTGCTGCAGTTGCCGGTTTATGGTTCAATCTTCAGAGTGACTGTTCGGCCCTATACTGCCTGGGTGGAGCTGACAGGCCGTGCATGCAAAGAAGCTTATGGAATCGCCCGAGGGCACAGGCACAAATGAGACTTACTGTCTTACAGCTGCGAGCTCTCTATGGACAGGCGCGCCACAGCCCAGCAACGGTACCGCAACCAACAATGGCAACGTCACACCCGTGCAGAAGAAGGCAATGGAATGCGCGGTCGATGATCCTTTTTGCTTCGTGTCTGTCACTGCAGGCACCGCCTGAGGGGCTGAGTTCGACAAAGGCCTGCGTGAGCCTGCATCCCGAAGCCTTGCACCAACAGGGCATGATAGTGCATGCCATGGTCTGGAACAGGTGGCCACAAAATCTGTGCCTGCAGAGAAGACTCTCCGGCAAAAATTGCAAATCAATCAGGCATTCTCAGGCAGTGTCAGCCAGGGTAGAAGCCCAATTGAGCTCGTTGAGAGCCTCCTTTCTTGTGCGGACCTGATGCTCGGAAAGACCTCTCCAGCTCATGAAGTGCTGAGACTCAGATCAAAGTGCGCGGCCAGGCCAAAACCGAAGGCTGGCGGGTCATCCTTGCTGCACAGCTCTGGATTGTTGGTGTGCACACAGTAGGGGAGGACAGCACAAGCGATTCACAACTGGATGCCTGAACAAGCGAGCTATAGCGAGCTTGCATAATCTGCAGAGTCGAGTTTTTTGGAGCAAAACTTTTTCTGACTTGACAGCCCGCGCCGCCGATGTTGAGAGCGAAGCTGCTGCAGCAAAATGGGAGCTGAGAGCATTGCTCGGAGTTGCTGAAGTCACCGTAATCGAGTCTCTGCTTCTGGCCAACCCTGGAGTAGTCTAGAATCGAACTTTTCTCGAATTCTAAGATTTAAGCTGCCTGTGCGGCATCGTTGTTTGCCATGCCCTAATTGTGACACGAGCCAAGAGGTCGAGCTTCGTTCATTGCCGAAAGGCTGTACAGGAAGAGGCTGATGTAGATATGCTTAGCATGAAAGGCAAGATGAGCAGGTGCTTCAGCACAGTGAGTTCTTCAGTGTGGATACTGGGTGTAGCAACAGGAATCAAGCATGTCTATCGCAAAGATGTTGCATATGGCCAGTATCATAGATTCAATGGAACTGTAGAACTGCTGTTGCATGCTGCGGTTTAGTAGGTGCCTTTGCCCAGCGTCCGACGCAGAAGCTGTGTGCTTCTTCGCAGTCTCGTAGGACTATGAAGCGCCTGCTTATGTAGCAGAATGAAAAAACAGCCTCACGAGATGCATGTTGCTTCCTCTCTGGCGCATATTGGCCACCTGAGAGCTAACCCTGTGCAGAGTCAGGCCTCAGTGCGTGGAGTTGTTCTGATTTAAGCAAAAGTAGGAGGTGTGCGCAAGCTCACGAGTGCTCAGATTTTGCCCCCTTCTGTCCTCCCCAGTTCCTCACAGCCATGGGCTTCACAGTCTAGCGTGGATGCTGTAGCAGCCCAACTTGGTCAGCTAGCAGCTCAGATGGAACAGATCAGGTTGCAAGGAGCTCAGCAAACTCAGGCTGGAACACAGCTTGCGGCACAGGTGGCGCGGACTCAGGAGCGCATGGATAATCCCCTAGGAGGCAACTTCGCAGGAGGCGCTCCACAGCACATTGTGGCGGCAGAGTCATGGGTGCTTGAACCACCTTCCAATGTTGATCTTGATGGACCCATCGCAGTCCGTGAGTGCGCAGCAATGGTGCAGGAGGCCTTGCAGAACAAGGTTGCTCCAGCCATGGGAGCATCACTCGGCGCATTGGCAGCTGAAATTGGATCCACCAATTTGAGAGTGGACAATTTGGAAGCGGAAGTCAGGGTCTTGAAGCTTCATATTGCATGGACCGAAAGGAACCTTCTGTCCTCACAGGTCGAGCAGGCGAAGCGCGCTATTGTATGCCGCAACTTTCCGGAGTGGTCATCCTCACAGGACAAAGAGGCCACCATCAAGTATGCCTTCACAGAGGCAGGACTGCACATCGAAGGAGGGCCGCAG